ACCCGGATCTGGAGTTTCCAGGGCAATCTTTTAGTTCCTGTTCTTGGGTGCGGTGGGTTCTCTTCCCGAGGAAGGAACTGCAGGGGAGCGGGTCAGCCGCCCAAGAAGCTCTTCCCCAGGAATCCGGGCTGTTTCCTTATGTCCACAGAGGCACCTTCCGATCCGATCCCCACGCCGGGTCAGCCGAACGTGGACTCTTTTGTCTTGGCATCTAAGGAAGGCCGCCCTGCAGTCCAGGAAAGCGTCTTCCCGGTGAAATGTGTGGTGCTCCAAGGGTTCAGAAGAGTTCTAGGCTTCTTTCTCTTTCTGCGCCCTTGATCTCAGTATCAATGAGAGAGGGAAGCCTTTCAGTGGAATTGGCCAACCCAATTGTCATCTTCTGGTGTGTTTGCGTGTGTGTGTATGTGTGTGGAGATTTGTTCACACCTTAAGGATGTCTGTCCTGGGAACCTGCTTCCCAACATTCCTGCGGATCTGGGCTGGAGGGCAACCCCGCGCCCCATTTCTCCCCCTTTGCTGGCTGTGTTGTGGTTATTTTGGAGCTCAGTTTTTGCCCCCTGCATTTTAGATCACTGGCTCCAGGAGAACCCCTTCTAACCGAGTTGGAAAGGGCAGGGGTTCTTTGTTTCTTGCATTGTGGCCAAACATGGGCAGCCAATTTGTCCTGGGTCGCAAGATACACCCCATGCCCTAACTGAGCCAACATAACCTTGACCGGCAGTGGTCCTCCAACCTTTTGGACCTTCAGTCTTTGGAATTTCAACTCCCAGAAGCCCCAAGCAGCTTGGCCCAGTGGCATTCTGGAAGGGGAATTCTGGGAGCTGATATATCATGACCTGGAGGACTAAAGCTTGGCAACTGCTGATCTACATCAATGCTTGCCAATTTTTGGTAGTCCAGAATTTGGAACTTAACTCCCAGGTGCCCCAGCCAACTTGGTCAATTGTCAGGAATTCTGAGAACTTCTAATCACCTGGATGGCCAAAGGTTGGAAAACTCTGGTGAAGTCTTCCTGACTTCAAGTGATAACCTCTTCCTTTGATATTCTTGGTGCCTGAGCTCCAAGCACAAGAATTAAAACCTCAGTTCTGAGGAGGGTGCTAGGCATGGAGGCCTCCCCCCCCCCCGCCCCATAACAAATTTGTCCCTGGCACCCAGGAAAGTAATGTATCTATGCTTTGGTCATGTGTAACCCTCACTTGGAATAGTGCAGTGGTTTCCAACTTGTGGTCCAGCAGTGGTCTGCAAGAACGTAGATATGGTCTGTGGCCTCACCATTACTACACCATTGCAACAAGAGCAGCTGGTCTTGAGAAACCCTTTCAAAATGCTGAGGCTTATTAAATATGATTTTCTGTGGGCGAGCAGATGGTGACTACTGAATGGCATATGTTCTGTATCAGAAACTAGAGCTGATGTGGTCTATAAAATGCAATTTTCTGAATCAGCACCCAAACAACCAAACTGAATCTAAAGTTGACCAAAACCTGTTTCGTAACCCTTTTGGTACTAATGTTGGAGAGTGGTCCCAGATCAAGGTGGTCCCTGGACAAAAAAAGGTTGAGAACCACTGGACTAGTGCCTTGTCTTGAGCTCTCCCTAGCCATTCTAGTAGGAAGATTTGGAGAGTTGTGGTCCAAAATTACAACGTTGACAATCAACTTCTCAAGATATTAAGTCAATATGTGTTTGTTTACTGAGTTGCTCTAAATCTGAATCCATGTTGTATTGTAAGAACCATTGCTGAGATCCCCAAACACCTTGCTTGGAAAGTGCAGAAACAAGGAGAAGTAAAGAAAGATCAGAATCAGCATCTCTAACCTACAGGTATATGAACCTTGGAGTTCATATACTTTGAAAACACTCAAAAAGTCAGTATCCAATGTTGGTTAGTAAATTTAAAAAAATGGGGCCCTTGTCTTGGACCCTTCTCTGCTAGCTGAAGCTTCTCTAATCTTAGCTAAGTCATTTTCTCCCCTCCTTTTCCTCCCTTTTCCTCCCCCGCTTTTTTCTGGTGTTGAGTAAACAGGCCTAGTGTATGGAGCTGGCCTATTCACCAGTTTAGGGGTGTTCTTTCTTTCTTCCCCAGCTCCTATAGAAAAGGTTTTTTTTGAAAAAAAAAATCCTAAATAGCATTGAGTAGCCCAGCCCAGGGGACAGTGATTAATGATAGTAGTGCCTAAAGGTTAACATACTTCACTGAAAAGTCTGTTGACTGAGATCCTTGTGATACAATGTGGGCCACTGCACGCCTCAAGAGAATCCTTTTGTTGGGCCGGTCTGATTGTGTCCTCAAAATTCTGCCCACGAAAGTTTGCCAACCCTCCTCTTTGCCCCAAGAGTTTAATAGTTTCCCTCGCTGGCATTGTGTCCCTGGTGAAAGGCATCCCCCTCGCTATTCAAGTGTTGGTGGTCATCTCAATAGATCTCCAAACGCCCATATGGTGACCACTGGAGATGAATCCAACTGTTTAAATGGGGGAGAAAGTTGAGGTTTTAAAACATTTCAAAGTGTTTGAAAAGATCCCGACCAGATCCTGTCACAATTCTCTCTTGGCTTTGAAGGCCAGTCCCCATTGTTAACTGATTATCAGCAATATTACTTTAAAGTATGTTTACCACAAATAATGTTTTATATATGCATGTGTGTGTGTATATTGCAGACGAGGCTGGAAAAAAGGGAGAGTAAAACTGTTCTTTTGTTTTTATTTTCCACCTAACTTTATCTCCTGCTTTTCTTCTCATTCCGGCACATTTAAGTGTCAAAAGAATCCCTTCTATTTTTCGTTTAACCACACTGAAAACACTCTGAATTAGACTCTGAAAGAAAAGAGAGAGTTAATTTACTGACAACCTCTCCTCTGCCTCTACAGAAATGTCCATTCCTTTTGTAAAACACACACACACATAGACACACACACATACACACAACACCTCCCCCTTTTCCCTTCAGTGTCTGCAGACACTTTGAAAGACAGCTAGACCACGAGCACATCTTTACCTCCAGCAGCAATGTGAAAACAATAAAACTTTCTCTTGTTTAATGATAGAAATTACATTAAAAGTGGTGGAAATGCCCTAATTAAAAATGTACCATTTAAATGATATGCCAAAGCGCTCAGCTGCGGAATAGCATATTTAGCTACTTAGTGAACTCGCTACTATTCCTTTTTAAAATTACATGTTAAAATTTTTAAAAGAAATCTTACTTTTCTCTGGTGCAACACATTACAAAGAATGGACAGTCCTTTTATCTAAATATAAAATTCCATTTTCAGCAATTATAGCCTGTTCTTGGTGATGATATAATTACAGCTGTGCTCTGTAATAGGTGTCAAGGCAATGCACACTCATACAATAGTTGAATAAAACTGCAGAACAATGCCGGCACTTCTAAATTCACAACCTTTAAAATGAAATTGACTGTGCAGAATTCAAATCAAAACTAGATAAATATTTTTTTAAAAAGATTACAAGCTTGGTTTGGTTTCTTAATCGCATTTTCTGCAAACCTATCAACATCTAATTGATTACATAGGGATTACTGATTATGGATTATCTGAAATATGGAACGTCACAATTTTAAATGAAGTGATAAGTACACAAATTCCATGAAGAGAGCATTTTTGGAAGGCATTTTTTTTGAAAAGTCACAACCATGGTTTGTTATATTAAGCAGAGGGGATATTGTGTATATTATTAGAATAAATACACCGTTATCCATTCTTAATTCCTATTGTAAAACATCTTTGTTTAGACATTTATATTATCAGAGTGTACTTTGTCTGAACATGATCTGTGTTCAGATTTTTATATTATTGTTGTTGTTGTTGTTGTTGTTGTTGTTGTTGTTATTATTATTATTAGAAACACAACAAGATTAGCACACAGCAAACAAAACCACTATGCTGGCTGTTGAATTGGATCACACATCTAACACTTTCCAAGTGTCTAGAGCTGTGTGATGTATCGGCGAATAATGCGTGCAGATGTGGGTAGGGTAGCCTTTTGCAGCTGACAGATGGCAATTTTGTCAGTACAGATTGTGTTTGAGTGCAGGCCATGGTCTTTAGGCACTGCACCCAGTGTGACGATTACCACTGGGACCACCTTTACTGTGCCAGAATCTTTACAATTTATTATTATTATTTTTCTTTCATCTTATTCCCCCATCTCAGACCTCTTCTGTATGTCAGGAGGAGAAATTCCCGGTTTCTTTAGCTACCATTCTAGCTAAAAATCTTGGTAAATATGTTACCATTGCAGTTGTTTGCCTTCTTAACCGAGATTCCTATGTGCTTCACTACAGACCAATTATCACTGCCTCATATCCAGCCTCTCAATGATTGCCAGGCTATCTGATATAGGAGGCTTACCCCCGCCCCCCCGCCCCCCAACCCACATGTACTAGCGATCAGTACCACATTTATCCTTATTGGCTTATTTCTTTACTGCAGACTGGCAAATGATGACACATAGGCCAAGCCTGGACCAGTAGCTTGAGCAGACCCAATTTAAACTAGAATGCCAGGACATGAGAATAATGCTCCCAATCCTAATGCGTTTTTTTTCTATTTGAGTTGCACATATAATTGCTATACAAGTGCATGCATGCATGTGTGCACACTTCCCATATCTGCAGACTTTCTCCTGGATTTTAGCCTACATTTCTGCTTTGGCGAGAATAGTTCCATATCGCATAATAGAAATGGGATCAAAAAAGGACAATGTGTGATTTCAATGAGCCATATGGACTCCTGTGTCGCCATGCAAATGTGGTTTAGATCAGAGTGTAAATTGATTTAAATCCAAATATTTGGGCTTAGCTGATGTTGGGATCGAGCTATAAGAGGCTTAGCATATGGTTTGCAATGAGCCTCCAACTGAGCCATTGGATGAATGTCACTTCAGCATGGTCTGTAAACGTGGCCGACTGTGTTTGTTATCGCATATTAGCTCAACCCGCTTTTCCTGAGAATTGCCTCCTCTATCTATTGCAGATGGCTGCCCACAACAGGAAGGAGGGGCTGAAAATACTAACTCCATCAGTTCCAATGGTGAAGATTCAGACGAGGCTCAAATGAGGCTCCAGCTGAAAAGGAAGTTACAGAGAAATCGGACTTCCTTTACCCAAGAACAAATTGAAGCGCTCGAGAAAGGTGAGCTGATGGATGCTCTTTTATCCTCATGGAAAAGTCAGGACAAAGGGACTGTATGGAAATTTCCTGATTCTTCTGGAAGATTCTGCACAAGGTTGCGGATGTACACAATTCTCAAGGGCTTTCCTTCCTGCAACATCTTTCAAATGCTAAGAGAGGAGTTGACAAGGGATGTGAGAAAGCAGTTGAAATGCTATAAAAAGCTTTAGTGTGGTCAAGACATATGCATGGGCTGAGTCATTATTACTGAGCTCCCAACTGCAATCTCACACTTCATTTTCTCAGGCTACGTGACATGGGATGAGGTTTACAATCCATTCAAGTGTTATTCAGTTATCACCTTCTACTTTTATGCAAGTCTCCTCCTTAGGGCCTGAATTTCAAGCACCTTCCTTAAATGGAGTTTGTGTATAGATATTTCAAACTATGTGCATGCTTTCAAGTAGCCTACTAACTAATAGCTCTCTACTGAATTTCATAGGGGTTTCTTAGGCAAGAAATATTCAGATTTTTACAAGCTCTTTCCGCTGAAATATAGCCAAAATCAGCTGATATTTGTGGTCTCCCATCCAGATACGAAGCAGAGAAGACCCAGTTTAGCCTTTTAACCCACTTTTGATGGCGCAGTCCTACAGAATCCTAAGACTTTTACTTTGGTGAGGCATTTGAATCTTCCCACTGAAGAGCTGTTGTGCACTGCCTTGCACCACAGCACTAAAGCAGTCAACAAAAGATTGTTAAGTACTTCACTAAACTACAAATCCCAGGATTCCATAAGATGAAGCCATGATAATTAAAATAGCATTAAGCTACTATTACTGTGGTGTGCAGACATTGTCATATATTGGCTAATGGAGGCTTCCATTTTGGAATAGGAAAGTCTGTCCTAGTTTTCATATGATACCTATTTCAAGCTCACCTCATTTCTTGAATTCTCCTTCACAACCAATAAATGAGGATAATCTACAATCAATTCAATATTAATCACATGATCCAGTAAAGTAAGGATATAGGTGTTCACGGAGATACAGAACATTAACACCTCCCTTTTGAAAAACACTTTTCTTGTTCCAAAGCACTTCTGCAAGACTATTCCTCATCAAAGATTTAAAACACAGAGTGCACTCAGTTATGTTCAGAAAGCTACTAGGAAGAGGTGATTTTCCCCCTGAAGCCTATTTTTAACATTAATTCTATTATGTTTCCTTTTGACTAGAATTTGAGAGAACTCATTATCCTGATGTTTTTGCCAGAGAGAGACTAGCTGCCAAAATAGACTTGCCTGAAGCAAGAATACAGGTATCTAAGTGACTATATAACATTTCCCTCCCTCCCTCTCTTTCTTCCCTTTTTATAAAAAGAGCACATTGATGCCTTCGGGGGGAAATATACAATCAAGTGGGCCCAACTAACCGGGAAACATCAGTGTGTCCCTCTTTATCATATATGCAGACGGGAAAGTGCTTTCTCACCAGCAGTGAGCAATGTTCCTAGTAGTATTTCTTCCAAATCTCACCAAGTTCTGCATGTATATTCCTAGGATAGGCAACAAATATGCATTTAATCTACCCCTATGGAAACCCACCTCATCTACAGAAGACCTTGATTGTCTTTTGCTACATCCTCAGTCATATGGTAACAAATGAAGAAGTAGATGGAGATGTATTGTCAAAGGCTTTCATGGCCGGAATCACTGGGTTGTTGCAGGTTTTTTGGCCTATATGGCCATGTTCTAGAAACATTCTCTCCTGATGTTTCACCTGCATCTATGGCAGGTGCCCTCAGAGGTTGTGAGGATGGAGATTCTTCAGGAAGATCAGATCTGGGCTGAAATATTTTGCTGGCTGAGGAATAGGATAAGATTCCTTCAGCTAACCCCAGTTCTTCACATGGAAACTAACTAGAATGGTGATGGCATCTTAGCATTGCACTACTGACAATAAGCTGTGGCACCTGAGACACCAGGCTTGTTGATAGGATTGCATACACAACTCTGACTTCCAATACCTTTGCTTACTGTTCCAGCATGTGTCATTTAAAGTGCTCTTCCTCATGACAGAGTTGTCCCAAAGGAAAACCCTGTCTTGGTCTTTGTGAAGGCTTCATATCTGTTCTAAAAGCTACCAAACTTTAGAGAAGTGCCACATCACCCCCTGTGCATGAATCTATGATAGGACCCCAGGTGATTTGCATCCTCCTAATGGGAAGTTCTTTCATTTTCAGGTGTGGTTTTCCAATCGGAGGGCCAAGTGGAGACGAGAAGAGAAGCTAAGGAACCAGAGAAGACAAGCCAGCAACACCCCCAGTCATATTCCCATCAGCAGTAGTTTCAGCACAAGTGTCTACCAACCAATCCCACAGCCCACAACACCTGGTAATGTGCTTTAAGAAATATGTTGACCAAACGCTCACCCTTTCAGAGCAATATGACCAAACACCCTGTACAGTCATATCGTCATCTAAATGAAGCATAAACTAATACTTCCATCCTGTCTATCTTCCTATTCTATTATAGTTTCCTCTTTCACATCAGGTTCAATGCTGGGCAGAACAGACACCGCGCTAACAAACACATACAGTGCTTTGCCACCCATGCCTAGCTTCACAATGGCTAACAACCTGCCTATGCAAGTAAGTATAATCCACTAATATGCTCTCTTGTTCTTCTTGAGGAGCGGGATTACTGGGAAGAACTTTGTAGTTTATGGGGTTAAATGTCAATCCTGGGCCCAAAGAGGAAGTTCTCAAATGTCTATGGCAGGAGTGGGGAATTCTATTTTTGTTTCCAAGGTCTGAATTCAATTTTAGAGAAGATTTAGATTTAGATCTTGCCACCACGTTCTACTGGTGGTTGAAGGACAAAAGTCAAAAGGATGGAATAAAATTACCATCAAATTTTAATTTAGGAAAAACATTTCAACCTTCAGTAATGGGAAGAAACCTCTAGAAAAGCTGGAAAATAACCCAATGGTGGAGCCCTGGTGGAAGAAGTGTGGCAATTGGAGGAGCTCAGAGGGCCAGATTGGGATTCTAGAGCAGCAGATTTGGCTGGAGGACCTGAAGCTGCCTAGCCCCCATTTAGAGTGACAGCGCGGAATCTGTATCCCTCCAGGCTTTTTATTGAACAACTACAGACATCACCCCTCACCTTGAATTATCCTGTCTGAGAATAATGGGAATTTGATTCCAACAATATCAAATGGAAACAGATACGATCTAGAGGATTTATTTTAGCACATTTTCTAATCTGTAAAGTCTTGATATGACCCATGTTTTATTATCAGACTTTTTATGCCAATAGGGAAGCCTGAGCACCTCTTGAAGATTTCACCTTGTGCTAATTATTCCAGAATAACTCCCACCTCCTTCCCATTATGGGCCAACTTATAGCTCATGCCAGTCAGATCACTACTATCTGCAAACATCTGTTAAAACACCCTTTTACCATTTTTGCTTAACCATCTTGAGCATGACAGATGGCTAGAGAGTATTTCAGAGATAATGTTTTATCTGTGCTGTGTAATCTTGAGTAGGGGTGGAAGGAAGTTTCCATGGTAGATCATTGTGTGATTTTCAGTAGACTATTACACCCAGGTTTCTGATTCACAATGGTTTAACAATGATAACAGGAGTACTTCCACTCTGAATTTTTCTGTTGTAGTTGTTGTATGCCTTTAAATCACCCTAAGATAAACCTACCATGGGTTTTCTTGAAAAGATTTTTTTTTTCCAAAAGTGATTTGCCTTTGCTTTCTTCTGAGGCTGAGACTTACTTAGGGTGCCCTAAATGTTTCAGGTTCAGCCTGTCTTCAAGACCACATCTCCTTTTATGAACCAGCACGGGCTTTGAGATCTGCTGGGGAGGCCCTTCTCTCGGTCCCATCTACGTCTCAAGCACAATTGGTGGGAACGAGAGAGAGGGCCTTCTTGGAAGTGGCTCCCCAGCTTTGGAATGCTCTCCCCAGGGAGATTAGATTAGTCCCCACTCTCCAAGAATTTTGAAACAATTGGAAGATTTGGCTCTTCAAACTGGCCTTTGACCTTGTTTAGGAATTGTTATTCATTATATTTGAGGATTAGTGTTCATCTCACCTTGCACTTTATGGACTAATATTGATTGTAATTGTTTACACTTGCAACTTCATTTGCATTTTACTGATTTTAATCAAGTGGAATATTATGATTTTATGGGATTTGTTATTGTTATTGTCTTGTGATATTGTCATGTATTTACTGTATTCTATGTGTTTGCACACTGGGTGCTTTGTGAGCCACCCAGAGTCTCTCCGGGGAGATAGTAGTGGGGTAGAAATAAAGTACTACAGTGTTCCCTCACCTATTGTGGGAGTTCCGTTCCAGGAACCCCTGCAATAAGTGAAAAACTGTGATGTAGGGATGATATACTGTATATGTACAGTATAGTTCCGACCACCCCTCTCTCCCCCTCCTCTCTCTCCCTTTTCCTCTACTTGTATCCTACTTGTATTTTAAATTAATTTTTTTTGAAAAGCCACAAAACAGCAAGTTTGCGGTTAGCGAACCGCGAAGTGGTGAGGGAACACTGTATTATTATTATTATTATTATTATTATTATTATTATTATTATTATTACCAGTGAGTTCCATGGCTGTATGGGGATTTAACACTGGTTTCCAGAGACATAGTTCAATGGTTAAACCATTATGTCATGGTAGCTGTTATGCTGGCCTCTGAACCTAGGCAGCTGAAATTTTAAAAAACCAGAGAACTTTCTCATTGCATTAGAAAAAAAGTTTCACTTTATGTCAACTTGAATCTTGGCTTTAGGTAAAAGACAATATATACAATAAAGATAATATCATCATCATTTCCTCCTCTTCCTCGTCAATCTGTTAATGTTTTGCTATGGTAGTAACAGTATTAGTTTTATTCATGGCCAACTTTTTGATAAGTAGAGCTGGATACTGCTTCCAATTTCCAGTAGAAGTGTTTAAGGATAGGCTCTTCATCTTTTGATGCTCTTTCAGCTTTTTAAATTTATAGTTAAAATGCCATCATGCTCGCTTTGAGCTGTAGCATGATATCTATAATGTCTAATACAAAAAATGTATCTCTAGTTAGCCTAGATTCTTTTAATTCAACATACACTAAGTATGACATTAATTAAAAGAGTTCATTTATATCAGTGAGCTCTTAAGACCCCAATTTCATAGACTATCGGGCATTTGTAAGACAAATTTATCAACATCCTTGGGTGGTTTGTAGTTGCTGAATGATCAGCTGCATAACGTTTTGATCGGGAAAAGGCACACTTAATTGAACAACCAGAAATTTGGTAGCCAAGGATGCATTTTTCATAGCCTGGGAATCATAGAATCACAGAATCATAAAGTTGGAAGAGACTACAAGGGCCATTCAGTCCAGTGCTCTGCCATGCAGAAACACACAATCAATATTTCCTCATAGGACTACATGATAGGAATCCTGATTCTGTATGTTTTTAGCCTGGAGATCTATAGAGCTTATTTCCTTTCAAATGCAGGCTTTAATTCTATATTTAACTGTGGCCATTGATCCTGTTCAGGGAAAATTATCCATGCTTAATCATTGCATTTGTATTAATTGTCATTGTTTAGCTCTCTAGATTTTAGTAGGCATGGTTGTGTTTTACATGATCTAATGCACCATATAGAAATTTGGATTCTCTTTGCACTACATGAATACTCTAAGAAAGTTGGGAGATACAGCAATATAGAAATAAAGTATTATTATTATTATTATTATTATTATTATTAATTGACAAAATTTAAATAGAATTTAAATACAATCAACTGTCTCTGAATTAAGGCCAAGTTGTTTATTCTCAGGATATAAGCCCAGTTTGTTTGGTTTGGTTGTGTGTGTGTGTGGAGATTTGCCCAAGTATTCTGCATGTGTTTTGGGATTTATTCCATTATCTATATCTATGCTTCTTTTAAAAAGTGACATTATTAATTTCAAAATGGCAGAAGTACCCAAAATAAAAGGGCCATTGCAATGGCTGTATATAGAATGCAGCTGAGGAAAAAAGTGAAGAATTATGGAGAGATTTCCAAACCTTACACTGAATAGTGTGAAAGGGAGATTTGAAATATCTGATAAGCTTATGCAAAATATGCGTGGAGAAGGTTAACTGAGACTCCTAAATATAAAGGTAAAAGGTCCAGTGGGTTAAAAGGAAATATGTAAGAACCATCAAGGACTTTAAGATCATTGTTGGAGGCCATACTCTCGATCCCACCACCCTCGCAAGCGCGAATGGTGGGGACAAGGGACAGGGTCTTCTCAGTGGTAGCTCCTCTGCTGTGGAACTCCCTCCTAAATTATATCAGATCTGTCCCCTCCCTCCTGGCATTCCAAAGAAAACTTAAGACCTGGCTCTAGGGTCAAGCTTTCAAGCAATAAATACAGCAATTAAATGTGGTTGACTTACGTGACCGGCAATGGACTGATTCTGGATCATGATTTTAAACTGGCGATTAAATTTTTTAATTTTTAAAAATATTTATAATTGTTTAAATTGTTTGTTTGTCATTTAGTGTTAATTGTTAGTTCAATGTCCGGCATCTAATGGTTGCCTTTTGTAAGCCGCCCTGAGTGTTTTCGTCCCTGCCCCCGGGGGTGAAAAGGATGGGGTATAAATGCTTGAAATAAATAAATAAATAAATAGTTGTATATAGCCAAAGAAACTCATTAGTATAGCACTGGTGAGAAGAACAAACTTATCAAAATAGTAGCAGGATCACACCTTGGTTGGCACCTTAGAAATACCTGGGCCGGGGTGGGGGGTGGGGGTGGAGTGGGGTATATGAAAAGCATCTGCAGTTGTAAAAGCATTGGCAGTGCTAAGATGAATAGCACTGCCAACCTTCCTCCTTGTAAGCTTATAGCTAACTAACTGGTTCAGGAAAAAAGAAACATAATTAACAAGGCCTTCATAATTACTATGCTCATACAATGGAAGTGATAGCAAGATACTGAATGTATAGATGTTTCATTGGTTTGCTTAAAGTTTTTTCTAACATAAAACTTCAATTTATAACAAAAATGTAAATAACATTATTTTTCAAGGAACTCCAGAATAAAAGCTATGATGTACATCTCTCAGTATCAAATCAAATCAAATCATTTATTTTGGTCATAGACCAGCACAGGAAATAAAATTCACACTTTCATACAAACTTGGTACATTTAGTACATTCAAAATGTAAATATAAATACTGAAGCACAATGGGGGGAGGGAGCGGAAGAGGAAACATGACTCAGTAAATATTAAAACAATTTAGAAATGAACATACTTTGTCATTTTTAGGCTAAAATTCTAACTACTTAGCAATGTTTTGCCAATTTAAAGATAAATTAAATTGCAGTAAAACCCACTGAATTCCATTGGATATATATCTGAATGAATGTGCCCTGGAAGAGACAATATTTGGATTTATGCTGTTTCCTCCTCATGGAACCAGTTTAAGTACTTGTATTAATTGATGCAAGTATTGCACCATGATACAAAGAGAGAAGAGTCATACTGTTATGCATTGAGTATGAATACATATCTTATATTCCTCTTCCGTGATGTGGCTGTCATCACCAGTTGAATTATTTACATTCTCCATTATTGATGTCCAAAGAGTTGCCTAAACTGTGGGAGAGATGCAGAATAAGACCCAAAGAGGAAATGTGACATAGGCTTTCCACTTCTTCCTTCCTGGCCCCTTTTTTGTGTACACAAAATCCGCTTTGGAAAGTGCCACAACCTAAATGTAAGGATGTTTGGGGGTTGTGATGTTTGAATAGGAATCTCACCTCACCGTCTCCACTGATGCTGCTCCATTGATGGAGGGAGCTAACATGAATCCAGGCTTGGGGTATAAGGCTTGTCAATTGGAAACCTGAATTGAAGGAGTGCTTTCTGCCAACACAGGAGAGTACAGCAGCCATTGAGATCAGCACTTTGAATCGACATTTGTTGGATATCTGAAATACACATTTAAGTGTAAAATGAAGTGCATCCCAGTACAACAAAAGCTTCAGGGCATGGATTTGTTGTTGCTGTTGTGTGTCTTAGTAGTTTCCGACTTATGGCAACCCTAAGGTGAACCTAACATGGAATTTTCTGTGGCTAAGAGTATATGGCTTGCCCAAGGTTAGCCAGTGGGTTTACACGACTGAGCATAGATTCGAATCCTCACTCGATTGTTAGTTCATCACCTCTGTAAATACCCTGGAAGCATCTGGTACTTTAACATTGTTGAAGCTAAGCGTGTACTCAGAGGAAGCAAGCAGGGTCTGAGAAGGTTATCAGTTAGGTAAAAGTTCCCACTCTCTACCTGCCGGGTAATCTAGATGGACTTTTATTCTCTTTTTTGAATGGGGGGGGGGGGATGGCACATTGTTTATGAATGACGAGTGGCTTTGTGAAGAGGACAAAGTTGTAACAGATATGAGATGTCGAATTATTATTTTTTATTTCTGGCTTTCCTCCCACAGCCCCCAGTACCCAGCCAGACTTCCTCCTACTCTTGCATGCTGCCCACAAGTCCGTCAGTAAATGGGAGGAGCTATGATACATACACCCCTCCACACATGCAGACACATATGAACAGCCAGCCAATGGGCACTTCTGGTACTACTTCAACAGGTAAGCAACCTTGAGTTTATTCCCTAAGGATAATTAACAGGGATCACTTCCTCTAATGTTCTAAATCAGTGCTTCCAAAACTTTGGATCTCCAAACTCCCAGAAGCTCCAGCAAGCTTGGCCAAAAAGTTAGGAATTCTGGAAGCCAAAGTCCAAAACATCTGGAAGACTAAAGTTTGGGAAAAACTTATTTGGTTCTTTATTCAGAGACGGATTACTGTTTTTCTGTCAAAAGGTGATAGTTACATAGCTATGATAAAATGGAGGGGTTTGGATTTCCAATTTAAAATGGTGATACTTTTCATTACTGTACAATTTCCTGGAGGTGGTTCTCTTCTCTTGGGGAAAAAGTGGAATATAAGAGAGACAGACAGATATTACACATCTACCCACATCTCAATAATTTTGGGATATATATATAAAACACTAAAATTAAAATAAAAGATTAGATGAACTAGAAGAAATATGTTGAGGGAGAATGCTCTCTCATGTGTTTACAAGTGGTTGGAGAATAATTTCCTTGAATTAGGAAATGATTAAATAATATCCTTGACATACTCAAGAGAACAAGTGAAAAAAGAGTTTAAAGGGAAAAATATAACCTTATAGTGTGTTCTATATAACATACCATGCAAATATTATTAAACTAATTTTTGAAAAAAACCCTCATTTTTTTAGATCCTTAAAATGATGCAAATTGATAGAAACTAATTTCTTTGTGATGTAAGTGCTATAAACCACTTATCCATGTAAACGTTCTGATGGGAAAATCATGAGTGTATCTCCTTTATCTCATTTCAACCCTCAAATATGTGAAGGGAACTTCTAATGGGGGAAGGTGCATTCCTATATTTTGGAGTTATTGCTCCCAGAATCATGCTTGGGATTCTGGAGCCTGTAGTATAAAGAATAAGCCAATCAAACAGATTTTTTTGTATGTCACTGTGTGTACACACTTGTTCATGCATCCATCTGTTTATCTAATTTATAGTAAGTTTTAGCTCACTCCCAGAACAATTCTATTACTAAACCAATGTGTTTGACATTTCCAGTGCCCTGCTAGACTTTTGTAAGCTGTAGGGAAAAAGGAAGGAGCTCTTTGCTGCTCATTTCCAGCTTTCCCTTTCTCATCTACAGTGTTATCAAAGTGCAGTGTAAAATGCCCCCTCTCTTTCTGTGTGTATATGCTTAACATTTCTTTCCCATTGTATGCAAAGTGGGAATACAGACATTTAGAGATATGTGTATGTGGTGGAAGGCTGAGAGCCCTTCTAAGCATGCAGTAAAACCAGGAAGTAACTGGGATAAATGGGGAGGGTGGCTAAATGACATTTGGGAAAAGTGAGGGCTGAATCAGGATAACAGCTGAAAAGCACATGCTTAAAAAGTGTGCTTAAAATCCAGTTCTACCCGAAAAATGTGGACCAACACATGACATATCCCTACTGTCATGGAAAACATGTGCCTTTCTTCTCATCCCCCTGTGTGAACTGCTCCTGCGCACGTGTCTTAAAAGCCTGAAAGAGCTGATTGGGGAGTCAAAAAATGGATCCATGGACACACAGGTGGCTAAAGGGAAGCACAATTGGAAAACAATTAGCACTCTCTGCAACAATTCCTTTCTTTCTTATAATATTAAACAGAGCTTCAATTAACAGTTGGGTGAAGAGAGAGATAAGAAATCTGCCCAGACTGTGAACTTTAGTCTTCCATTTAATTCTTATCCTAAGTCACTTTCTTGTTTTCCTCATGAAATCAAGTCTTGCGGGATCATTTATGTTTCTTGAATTCTATAAACATTGTTCAGTATTCCAGGGGATACATGTGATTATGTTGTAGAACTCTCAGCAGATCTGGCTGGCCTTGCTAATAGCCAGGAATGCTGGGGGCTGCAATCCAGCAGTGTCTGGAGAACCAGACAATTGCCATACATCAGTGCTATATTTTATTATTATTGACAAAGAAAAGAAGATTTAAAAGAACCTTGAAAATGACACTCTGAAAGTATTCCAACTAATGTCAGTTCAGGATAAAAAGTTGGATATGTGTGTGTGTAAGAGTATGTAATCATTTCCTCCCTCTCTTTACCCCAACCCAGGTCTTATTTCTCCGGGAGTGTCCGTTCCTGTTCAAGTTCCCGGCAGTGAACCGGATATGTCTCAGTATTGGCCAAGATTACAGTAAACCATGTGTTGATTTTGTAAATTGCTATATGGACAACAGTTGGAGGATCAGCTGTCTTTTTAAAAAGAAGAATGGCTTTCAAAGTACTTCAGGCCTGTGACTGTGCCCTACGATGTAACACATGGAGAAAGACTTTAACAAGGACCTTTGTATACTGAAGGCATTATATCAGTTGGAACAAATCTTCATTTTGGTACCCAAACTTTTATTCATTTTGGTGTATTATTTGTAAATGGGCATTTGTATGTTATAATGAAAAAAGAACAATGTAGACTGAATGGATGTTTGCTTTTGTGTTGGTCATGAAGTTGTTTTTTTAAAAAAAGGAAGCCATGATCAACAAGCTTTGCCACGAATTAAGAGTTTTATCAAGCTATATCGAATACTTCTACCAATCTGTTCATAGATTTCAGACTGATGCTCCAAGGTTGTATCATTCCATTGCATATAAATTCAACCTGGGACAATACACACTAGATTTCTGTAAGAAAACTATCTGTTGGGATTTCCAAAGGTTATTAACAGGTGACACTTATGTGCAAACAAAGGATTAAGAGAGAACTTCAAAGAAGAAAAGTTTGATAGGGAAAGGGTAGATTGTGTCTTCGATATAATCCAATTTGTTTTATGTCAAAATGTAAGTATTTGTCTTCCCTAGAAATCTCCCAGAATGATTTCTATAATAAAGTTAATTTCATTTATATTTGACAAGAATATTCTATAGATGTTTTATACACATTTTCATGCATCAAACGTTTCTTTTTTGGTCAGCAAAAGTTTATTGTTCTTAGCTATAGTTGTACTACTGTTCACAGTCCAATCATTTTTGTGCATCTAGAATTCATTCCTAATCAATTAAAAGTGCTTGCAAGAGTTTTAAACTTAAGTGTTTTGAAGTTGTTCACAATGACATATCGAAATTAACCATTGTTGATTGTAAAAAAAAAAAAAACCATGCCAAAGCCTTTGTATTTCCTTTATTATACTATTTTCTTTTTAACCTTATAGTGTGGTGTGGCAAATTTTGTTCCTTGATAGGTTTTAACATTTTTTAAATATTCAGGCAAATCTTATGTTGGCATTATTTTTTGTTTTAAAGTATTGGGGGGGGGGGGCTCAAGAAATATTTACTATAGAGCAGTGGTTCCCAACCTGTAGTCTTTGGACCACTAGTGGTCTGCAAGGACTAAAATATGGTTCATGGCCTGTTACTACATTGTTGCAACAAGAGCAACTGGTCTCACAAAACCCTCTTATAGTGCAGAGGCTTATTAAATACGATTTTCTGTGGGCGAGCAGATGGCGACTACTGGATGGCATATGTTCTGCATCAAAAACTAGAGCTGATGTGGTCTATCCAATGCAGTTTTCTGAATCAACACCCCAAATAACCAAACCGAATCTAAAGTTGAACAAAAACTGATTCGTAACCCTTTTGGTACTAATTTTGGAGAGTGGTTCCTGGTCAAAGTGGTCCCAGGTCAAGTGATCCCTGATCAAAAAAAAAAAGGTTGGGAACCACTGCTATAGAGTTTATTGTTTGGTTTGGAACCTTAGCTTAAGAGATTGCTGGGTCATCAGTGTTTTGTATCAAAATCTGTCTACAAAGGTAGCATTTTCTTGTTGCATAAAACTATATGTAAAGAAAAAAAAACCAATTTAACAGGGGAAACTAAATGGCAGGTCTGAATTTTGAATTTTGCTAGATAAATGTGGATTTATAAAAAGGATTAGCATTTGCTACTTATTTCACTGAGGCTGCAATCCTGAAATCATTTATCGTCAAATAAATCCTGTTTAAATTCAAATGGGATTAACCTAGAATATTTGGTTGCAAGACTGCAGTCTCAGGCTTTTTTCTTTGTTAATTGTTAAACTGGGGCGTTTACAACAAGAACAAAGCTCTCCATGAATATGAACTCCTTATGTGCTTTCACAAAGCACATTCCCAGTGTAGTTTTCCAATGAACTTATAACCTGGCGGATATTTTAATATTCTTTGCACAAGTGTGGGCAACAGCGAAGGGATGAATGTCAAGTAATAATGAGAGAAGAGAAACAAACAGACAACAAGTGAAATTGTGCTTGGCTAGAGTTAAGGGTTCTAGTCAGTGACAGCTAAATATAAATATTTCCCTATCTATGAAGAAGATTCATTGTGGCCCAGCTGTTACTTGCAAAGTGGCAAGGAAGAACAGATCCAATAAAGTGTGAAATACAACACGCAGGGAGTTTGGAATCAAAAGGAAGGCACTGCAGGCTGCCATTGGATAGAAATAGAAAAGAGTGCTTTTCTTGCATTCATAACACTGTGTAAACTAACATTACTTTCCTTTAACTTGGAGCAATGGTGGTTGCTTTGAGACAGATGCTATTTTGCAAACTCCATGAAAGCATCTAGATACATAAATCGACTCCATGAGAAACAGAGCACAGCATAATGTGCAAGGAGGGACATGGCTTTATTTCAAACACAGAGAATACATTCAATATGAGCTGAAATAAGGTTGAAGAATCTGATAAAATGTAGATGTGCCCATAATGTGTAGTGCTTTGCGATCTCAACAAGAACAAAAAATCCGTTATGAACAAACTGATTTGGCATTTATTCATTTCTGCCAATGTTGTACTTTTCAAGAGGTAGAATATATTTTAAGAATAGGATAATACTGTGTCCCTGTCACTTGGGAGCCTCAGTTGTGTACAGACTATATTCTAAAGCAGGCATCCTCAAACTGCGGCCCTCCAGCCGTTTTGGCCTTTTACTCTGAGAATTCCTGAGCATTGAACAAGCTGGCTAGGGCTTCTGGGAGTTGGAGGCCCAAACAGCTGGAGGGCCACAGTTTGAGGATGCCTGTTCTAAAGAGAAAAATATTCATTTAGTTATTACAGGAGGTTAAAGGAGAATTCTGGTTTACTGACATTATAAATCTCGACTCATGTACTTGAGAGTGTCTCATTGGACTTGGTGGGGCTTCCTTCTGAGCAGAGAGGTATAGCATTGCACTGTTAATTCTGCGTCTCATAGTGTCATTTCCTCTATCTTGAGATTTTTTTAGTTGGATACGAATGAGAATTTTGAAATCCCAAAGTAGATCTTCCTTTCTCATATTCAATTTCATTCTAATTGCATTATATCTTTTTCAATCAATATCATCTTTGATTTTTATTGCAATGAAGGATGTGTTGTGCCCCCCCACCTCAAATATATGCCCTTAGCAGTTTATAATTCTGCAATTATTTTAACAGGTTTAAAGATTTCAATAGTAGAAAACTCTCATGAATTTACACAAGAAACTTGAAGCAAGGTCTTGCAACTCTGCTTCAACAATGGGAGCAGTGCATTGCTGTACAGGGACAATAATTAGAAAATCTTAAATGAAATTATCATTTAATTCCTAATTTCGATTAAGTTATTATTAACATGTAATCTTCAGTATCAATGTATTTATTTAGTCTTAAAATAATCATCATACTCTGTGTTTGTGAGCATATATTTGTAGTGTGTCCCTATGTACATATATACACAACTGAGCTATCCAGTAGATGCAAACTAGTTGGAAAAAATATAAATACCTGAGACATTGTCCAAATATTTACTCTGACTAGTTTGCATCATCAGGATAACTCAGTTGTGCCCCTCTTCCCCTGCCCCTCACAAAACTAACTACCACCCCCTCTTTTTGTCCTCAGCACTTTTAAAACAGACTATAACCATCCTGCTAGATCTGAGTAGCTTGAAAGTGTGAAGGGGTAAACTGTGCTGAGTGAATACAAGAATATATTTTTTTGCATCTCTGACATGGGGGCTAGGTTACAGACAGGTCAAATGGGGCAATAATACCCTTTGCCTGCCGTTACAAACCCTTTGGTAATCCTTTCACCCAAAAGAGGCAGTAAAATGATCCAAAGAAAAGGGCCATTCCTTTAGCACCCCATTTGGGTGCCTATTTTTATAGATAGGCAATCCCAATCTTCGACTTAGGGGTGGAGGTAGGACTCTGTGCAGAACACGAGGCTTCTTTGCAATGTTTAGTTTGATATTTTATTGGTATTTTGTTCTTTGTCCAGAAACCTAATTCAGAGAACAGGCTAAAAGCTAGTGTGAGCAACAGTGGCAGTGTATTGGTGTTGTGTGCCTTCAAGTCCATTTTTTTGGCATGGTTTGTTTTGAGAAAGGTTTTGCTTTGCCTTCCTCTGAGGGCTCTTCCACACAGCCCTATATCCCAGAATATCAAGGCAGAAAATCCCATAATATCTGCTTTGAATGGGCTATCTGAGTCCACACTCAGATAATGTGGGATCTTCTGCCTTGATATTCTGGGATATAGGGTTGTGTGGAAGGGTCCTGAGACTGAAAGAATGTGACTTGCCCAAAGGTCCTTCAGAGTCAAGCAGAGATTTGAATCCTGGTCTCCACCGTACTGGTTCAAGGCTCAAACTACTATGCCATGCTGATGATGTGTTCCCTTAGTTCATTAAGATCCAGAGAAGTCTTTGTTGTTATTACAGTTCCCAGTGACTGGGACTCCTTTTTGTTGTGACTGGAGTACGGGGAACTTCCCTGGATGGTTACTAATGGCACTGAAGCTGGGTTGCTTGGGACCAAAGGGAAGGAGAGGTAGTGAACCAGCAATGAAAAGTAACCACTCTCAACCTAGGGAGGGGAAGGCTTGGATCAGATCCCTGCAAGGCCTGTTGGCTAAGCGAAGAATTCTGAAGCATCCCACGGGACACAGAAAATTGTCAGAAAAGGTTTTTTGGGGGGTATTTATTTATTTTGTGTCAAAAACATTGTGTAAATAAGTTTAAAGCTGATAAAATCAAGGGATCACAAGCAGCTAAATAGTTTTAGATAAAAAACGGGGCAACAGCGATTGCATTGTCTGTAGTTTTTAAACAATTCTTCCTCTGTGCATGTGGCAGGGCATTGTGGGCAAGCATACAGATGCTGAGTTGTTTGTTCTGCTCCACAGTCACACAAGGTGGAGAATTCTTCTAGGTAGTGCCATTTTGCCAGGTGGTCTTTTGATCTGCCAGCTCCACTTCTGAGTCTGTTCTGTTGGGGGGGGGGGGCAGTGAGAGAAAGAGAAAGAGCTCATGCCTTGGACCTGGTTGTACTTCCAAGCCCTACACTGCAGTTTCTCAAATCTACACTGTGGAATTAATGCAGTTTGATACCACTTTAACTGCCATGCCTCAATGTTGTGGGATCTTTGCACTTGTAATTGTACACGGTCTTTAGTCTTCTCTGCCAAAGAGTGCTGGTGCTTCACCAAATTAGAACTCCCAGAATTCCATAGCATCAAGCCATGGCAGTTAAAGTGGTGTCAAACTGCATTCATTCTGCAGTACAGATGCAATCAAAGACAAATGACTTGAATGGATGTGCTCCAAAACTTGCATGCAGTTCCTATAAACACGTGCAAATAATCAAGGATGGGGTGGGGGTGGGAATTATTTCTGGCATTGAACCCCTTTCTATCAAAGCTTAAGGGATGTGGTTTTGGACCTGTTGATCCTCCCCACCCAAATTGGACCTTTTCCCTCCCCCCACCTTTTTTGTTTAGTAGTTTCAGGAAATGTGTATCTCCTCTTTTTCCATTTGTGATGCACTCTTGTCTTCCTCAGGGCATGTTACATTATTGGCAGGCACACAGGCAAGGAACGAGCGCCTAAGCCTTTCTCCTTTCTAGTGTTCAGTTCTAAGCACTATTATTTAAAAGATAATAAAATAATGGGTGATGTATGCATATATAAGTATTTGTTTTATGTCTGGGTGCTAATGTTGTCCATAGGCTTACAGAAGAAGCCTTACTGTTCAAACCTCAGGTGTACCAGTTTCATCCACTACTGCCACCACTCCCATCATCACTGCGTT